TGAATATCTGAGTATCATGTTGTGATTCACTCAGGAGGAAGGAAGGAAGGAAGGAAGGAAGGAAGGAAGGAAGGAAGGAAGGAAAAGGAAAAAGAGGAAGGGGGAGGGGGAGGGAAAAGAGGAAAGCAGGAGGAGGGAGGCAGGCAAGCCTGGCACCATGCAGAGGCAGCCCCAGTCCGCATCCGCTCCCAGCTTTGAATCCTACCTCCCTTAGCCGGGTGCTGTCCTCGGTGGTCTGAAAGCTCTGGCTGAGCTCATCCACTTCTTTTTCAAAAAGTGAGCGTACTTCACTGAACCCCGAGCTCACGGGCCCCATGAGCTCTTCCAGAATGGACGCCAGGAAGGGCTGCACACTTTCCCCACAGGTTTTCTCTGCTGGCTGGGCCACCATTGCTGAGAAAAGAAAATAAAGTGATGTAGAGCAAGACGGCAGTCAGAGGCACCGAGCCAGGCCAGGCTGAACAGTGCCCGCGGAGCTGGTTCCCAGCTAAGACCGCACTCCACTATTCCCCATCATTGTGTACCTGTAATTTGTCTCCTAGAAACAGAAAATATTAAGGTTTAGTTTACTTCTCTAAGAGCTAATTGGTCGGTATAATCCTATCTCTCCCCCCATAAGAAGAGACTTTTAAAAATACAAGTAAATCTTTTCTTGGAGGAAAATGAAACCAAATTTCATTTAGCTTGTCTTCTCATCACCAGTTAAAACAAAAACTTCGTTTTTCTCATGAAGATGACAGGTTGAGTGACAAAAACATTCACTTTCTGAGAAAGTGTACGCATAATTTCCATTCATTCCATTCAGAGGAGAAGCACCATACTTTCATTGATTAAAGAGTGTAGCAAAGACAGCGAATCTGCTTAATCTTCAGGCAGGAGGGTTCTCCTCACCAGCCAGGCTCTGGAGCAGCGCTGTAGTGGAAGAGGCTGAGTAGCTCTGCGGAAGACAAAGCCAGCTGTATCTCAGAAGTGGAAAGAGATGCACAGACTGGCTGGGTGTCCAACCCCTCCACTCTACAGGTGGGAACAGAAGAAGGCTGGAGATGTGAGATGACTTGGCCAAAGTCATGTTCCACTTGCTTACGGTGAGATGAATGGCCGTTTTCTTACTGTGGTTGGCAGAAATCTGTCATGGTTATGGAGGACCAGGTTACTGCCTATGATCCTAAGAATCTGAATTTCAGATAATAACACTGTATTCAGGGTGGAAAACATTAAACAGGTCATAAGGCTATTAGGAAAAAAAATCTTTTTAATCAAATATAAAGCAATCTATGACTCTTGTAAAAATGACTTGCTTGATACCAAAAGGCCAAACTGTTTGCCAGGAGAATAAATTATTAAATTAACTTCACTACAGACACCACTTAAAAAGCATCTGATTAAAATTTCAGAATAGTCCTGCACTTGGGCAAATGCAGGGACATTTAGCAAAGCTGCCCAGCTTCACCCCACACCGTGGGCGCACCAGCACGGCAGACAGGGCAGGCCATGGAAGGCTCCTCTCCACCTGCTCTGCCCGGCCTCTGTTCAGCACAGGTGCTGCCCCTCAGCTCCTTCATTCAGGGTTCTGTTACTCAGGACTTGTTCCCTCCTGCTCTGCTTGCAAACATTCTGCTCAATTCCTCAGGCCGATTTTATTTATTTTTTTCCCATAATTTTATTGATAAACAAATAGCAATGAGATAGTTTCAAATCAAATCGGTAGGACAGTTTCAATAATTAACACATTGCATACATTCCTCCCAGTGGTTAATTGCTGTACAAGATGCGGACATGATATCCTATCTACAAACACCATTAGAACAAATCACTCTATTCATTAAGAGAATGTAATTATTTATCTATCCTAACCACTTTGAATACACAGATACAAAATGGACATTCATCTGTATACCCTTTTTTTTGTTAAGTTCCGTTATTTGAATATTATAGGTGTGTAAACTCAGCAAAATATTCTAAAAGAGTCCAGTAGTCCATAATAGTACTGGGTCCTCTGCTTCACTGGCAATGTCAGAAATTGTTGACCTGAGTCCCCTACAGCTCAACATAACAGCACGGCTTTACTTCTTATACTTCGTTTTTATACTTTTCTGCTGGGTGGTTAAGACCAAGGTAAAGCAGGACCTGTGCAACAAGAATTGTAGCTTTTGGGCCTGATAAGGTCAGTGAAATCCCCTCAGGATTTATCCTGAGATCCTGTACCTCAGATTGTTTGTCAGTGTCAGCCATGTGGATGAGTCACAGCCATTGCTTGGCCAATGTGCTCTCTGTGAAAGCCCCTCAGGCCGATTTTAAATGTTCCCCATTTGGGACAGCTTTAATGTCCTGCAGCCAGTGCTGGCTTCCTGCACTGCAACCTGCAGGTGTTTCCTTATGAATCAATTTCACGTCCCACATGTGCCTCCTCTGCTGTCTTCAAGCACACAGAGACACTGCTGTGATGAATATCTGAGTATCATGTTGTGATTCACTCAGCCATGAGCCTTCCTGAAGTCATGGCAGCTGCAGAAAACAGTGAGTAGACGGATGCTGCCTAAAAAGCTGGGGCTGAAGGGCTAAACATAAGGAACCTCAGGCAAGATCCTTAGGGTCTACCTCAGTTTTCTTATCAGCACAACGGAGACCACATGTGAAATTTTTGGAGTTGTGGTAAGAATTAAATGAGTTCATGGTTTGGAATGGACACAGCCCTCTCCAGAAGCGCTTGGGAACTCTGCTAGCTCCAACTCTCCTGTCGGCATTAGCACTCTTTCTAATGCCCTGAAACAAAAGCAGACCCTCCCTGGGCAAAATCCGTATAGTTTTTTGAAGCTGAGATATAATCCTGCCTGGGAACCGCTCTGTGTTGGTCCCCATCTCTCTCACGGTATCTGACACCTCGTTTCTGCTGTCTCGGTATCTGTGATACACTCTCTTCCTATCCATTTCTACTGGTAAAATAATGTCCTCTTTCAATCTTCACAGCCCTTGTGCTCTGCAGAAGCAGAATAAATGCTTACTGAATGAACTGTGAAGCAGAACTAATAAAACTCCATGGCTTTGCTTCTGAGAGAGTCATGTGGAGGAAATAAAGAGATCACCACTTAATACCCCGAAGCTTTTTTTGAAATCCAAAGCACTTTGTCAGTGCACCCTTTAGTTCCCTTCCTTGTTTTAAAGGTAGGGAGCCAGAGACTTGCTTATAATGTTGCTTGGTTATAATGTAACTGAAATTCCATGTTAAAATGACTTGACCATTGCTTCCTTTCAAGCTTTCTTTCAGAAAACCACTAATAGTGCAGGGCAGAATCTTTTTACATTGTGTCAGGATACCTGGAAACCACAGAGATTTAGGTAACAGAATGGTTTAACTCCAGTCACAAGAAAGGCCACAGGTAGGCCCTGTTGGCCCCCAGAGAACAGGGTTTGGGTGCAGGAACTGGTGCTGAGGCTTTTAAATGCCACAGAGTGTTTTGACATAGAGTAGACTCCTGATCAGCTGTGCTCCTGGAGTAAAACGCGGACAATAACCAACAGAAGCTTTGTGAATCATCATGTGAACAGACACAAACTTTACACTTGGCGCAGCTACTCCTCTAATCTCCTCTCAGTAGGACCTATTTTAAAAGCCCTGAAGCTGGCTGGGCTGTGGTATGAAAGGGTCTAAACTACAGAAATTAGATCAAACTGACAACGTCAAGCAAACTGACAACATTCCTTCTGTGGGAATGGGTAGACTTGTTTTGTTTTGTTGGCCAAAAGCCAGATGGGAAATATTTTCTACTTTGCACTCGCTAAGTTTGAGACCAAGTTGCACTGACTCTGTTCTGATGCTGTGGCTCAAGAGCACCTATACCCAACACATAAATGAATGAGGATGGCTGTGTGCTAGCAAAACCTTGCTTACGAAATCAGGTGGTGGGTTTGGCCTCAGGGACACGATTCCCCAACCACACTCTTGGGAGTCTTCCTGTTTTCGGAGCAAGACACTAAGACAAACAGAACTTGACTGAGCCCCTAAGTATACAAAACTAGTGAATGTTGAAACTGGGACTAGGAATCTAGATTTATTGATACTCAGACAAAATTATAGGCTTTCCTGTGAAAAATCTATTATTCAACAATCCATGGGCTGAGGAGGTAGCTTGGCAGTCTATGTACCTGACTGACAAGCACAGACACCTGGGTTCAACCCCCAGTACTGAATTCTGTGCAAGCCCTAGAACCCCAGGCCCACTCTGCCAGTCACCACAACCAGGCATGGTGGCACATGCCTGTAATCCCAGCCCTTGGGAGGCTGGGAAAGGAGGATCACTATGAGTCCAAGCTATGTAATGAGATAAGATTAAAAAAAAAAGTCAACCATTCCTAGGCACAGTCCTAGGTCCTGGATATATACTTGAGTAAATCAGGGAAACAGGACTCTTCCTTTCAGAGCTTACTGCAGAAAGAGGCAGGCAGAAGCATCATTGTTCAGTATCACCCGGGTATGATGATACACACCTATAATCGAAGGACTTTAGGAGACTAAGTAAAGTCTTAAGTTTGAGCCAAGCACTGGAAATTCAGTAAAACCCTGTCTATAGATAGATAGATAGATAGATAGATAGATAGATAGATAGACTGAAGATTTAACTCAGTGGGAAGACCTTTAGTTCAATCCCCAATCTAGAAAGAAAATATATAATAAATCCTATAGTTGGAGTAGGGCAGGCAGCACCAGAAGGTCCAAGTACTATCACAAGGCATAAAGCAGTTCCCTCTACCTTGTGTGCATAAAGCTTCCATGGAAAGGTCTAGATCAGTGATGGTGAACCTTTCAATAACAAGAACCCCACTGTAG